TCTTTATTTCTTATATTATGTGTGGTGTTGTAAAGACTTGCTATCAGTTTGTTTGGATGGTGGTCAATTTGACTCTTGAAATTAAGAGCACTCTTTTTAATTTCTTCACTGATTGTCAGTGTATCCGTGCCTTGGTGAATTAGCTATGTCGGTACATACCTTGGTGCGGATATTGCTTGTCTGAGTATTTTATTTTTATATCGTTGCATTATTTGCAAGTTACTGACTTTAGCAGCACCCCATAGATGGATGCCATACATCCAAACAGGTTTGAGAATAACTTTGTATAATAAAATTTTATTGTACATTGACAGTTTTGATCTAAAATGTCCAATTTGACTTTGAGAAATTATTTTGTGAAAACCAAACCAGTATTAGATATAACAATAACACATATTTAACAGACAACTATTTGACTGTGTTCAGTAAAAATTCCCAGCTAATTCATCATTGTAGAAATGTGTTTTTTATGTTTCTCAAAAATTTTTAACCTTTTCACTTTATAGGCGAGGTAAATTGAGACGGCAAAGGGGCAAACAGATCCAATGTCCTATTTAAATATTGAAGAATTTTTATATATTTTTTTTAAATAATAGCTATATTACTCAACCGTCGTTATTCAATACAAAATATGAATAAATATAAAATAATTATAAATAACTTCGATCTGGTTTGTAAGAAATATTCATCAGCAAAGTTGGAATATCTACTAATTTAATTTATCTCTTGTAAAATTAAATTAACTTAATTTACTTTTTTATTTGCAAATTTTTATTTTTTACACCTTTGCCAGAGTGAAAGTTCAATTGGTTCCTTTTACGGTAAAAATATTGCCTCGCCCACGTGTGTGCTTCTGATTACATAATCAGGTTACATAAAAAAAAAAACTTTTGAATCTAATTTAAAAATAACGAAATATCTTATAAAATAATTAAATAACGTATACTTAGATGTTATATTACGGTCTCGTAATCTAAGCAGTAGCGCTCAAAACCAAAACAAATAATGACGAAGGAAAATACATTTTTAATGGAATTTTAAACATTACCGTTTTGCTCCCGATAGCAACGTTGTAAGAACCAATGTGATGGCTAGTTATACATCTTGTTCCTAGTACTTTCTATTATTCATGTAAAAAAATTCATAACTTCACTGGTTTTTGAAATATCGGTGGTGAACCTTTTTACCCGCGGAACTTCAAACCCCGTTCTACCCTACCTTTCAAATTTCTTTAATTCCTTTCAAATTTAGACAAGCTTTGTAAAATGGTTCACAATATATTCGCATATATTTTGAAAAAGTCGAAGAATGCAGGACGAATTGAAATAATGCCATTCGTACTTGATCATAAGGCAAGTGCAATTATTTGCTTTTTCTGGTCAATTAATTATTCATTGAACAATTATTTCAAATAATGCAATTGAGTTCATTTATTTCCACATTTCATTAATGTCGACTGTACCTTTGCGCTATCAGAATACTAAAATTACGTATTACGTGTAATTAGTATAACGAGTCCGCAAATGGTTACTGTTGGTTTACAACCAAGTTTAATTTGTTGAACTCGATTTTTGATTAAATCGATGTAAGTAGTAAGATAAATTTTAGATAATGTATAAAAAAGTAATGTGCCTAGTGTCATGAATAAAACTAGTTGGTATTGGTATTTTGCCTTGAGGCAAGTTACATGAACTTCCCGATATGTGTAAATAATCGACTTAAAAATCAATTAATTTAACAGTGATTAAAAGTATTCCAAGTGGATTTATTACACATGATTGAAAATGAAAGGACACGTTAACTCGGAGAATTTTCTAGAAGCAAATTTTCAAAAATCAATAATATTTATAATTGAACCAGTTTCCATAGGACATTAATGGTTTAGTATGTTCATTAAGACCAAGTACTCTACCGTTATACCAAGTAAATCGTCTAATTTTAATTTTAACAAACGTAAAAAAAAACTACTCATTTTCTCAAACTTTGATGATTTTTTAAAATAAAACTACTTGCCGTGGGGCCGAAATATTTCGGTAGTTCTATTAGACCATTATATATATCGCCAATAAAAGTTCCATAAAAATCGGCTTAAATTTTTTTTCAACAGTTAATTACAAGAAAACGGCTCGGTAAATTTTCACCAAAAACTGTATTATTCCTAACTAATATTTTTCGAACAGTTTTTGATTTTTTAAAATCGATTCGGTAGTTTGAGCTTAAATGTGGACGAAAATTTTAACACTTTTTTTTAAATTACAAAGAAACGGTTTGGCAGATTGTCTCACAAAACTGAGAAACGATAATCCTCATTGAGAATTTCTGAAATCGGTTCAGGCGTTTTTGAGAAAACGATTCTAATTTTTGCAAACTTTGAAGAATTTTTAAAATTAAACGACTTCTCGAAGTACCGTAATATTTTAGTATGATCTACAAGACTTTTGTATCTACCGTCAAAAAAAATCTTAAAAATTGTCGAATTTTTTTTCAAAAAACTTACAAGAAAACGGCCCGGCCGATCTTTACCAAAAACTAATCAGCACGATTCCCAACCAATATCTATCGAACGGTTTGTGAATTTTCAAAATCGATTCAGAATTGCACATACACACACACAAATACATACTTTTTCCAAATTTGATCTCATTCGATTCAGAATGGCTTGAAACGTCGAGAAAACATAAAATTAGCGAGTCGGATTTTTTTATGAAAACATAAACTTCTCCTTCGGGAAGTTAATAATTATTAACGTTATCATGGATTGTAATATTTTTTAATGACTAATATATTATATAATATATTGTTTGTATATCATTTAATTTCCGAATATATAATTTTTAATAACCTTATTAATCTTTCAGAACATGGCAGCACTGAATTCGATAAATTTGTTCGTTTGCTCGGAGATAAAGTTCGGCTTAAAGGTTGGGATAACTACAGAGGCGGGTTGGATGTTAAAGGTAGGAGTTTGTTCTTATCCCTAAAATAAATAAATAAAAATAATAATCTGATTTGATGATCTGAATGAAATAAATAATAAAAATAAATTCAATACCATGTATGCGTATATGTTAATAAAACTTCTATATTTCTAAACTTTTAAAGATTTCGATTGGCATGTAGTTTTATTAAAAAGAAATTAGTCATCCCTTGATACTAAATCCTTATTTTCAATAGATATTATATGTCATACGATTTATTTTCAGGCGACATGACCGGAAGGCATTCAGTTTACACTGTGTATGAAGGCCACGAGATAATGTTCCATGTATCCACATTGCTTCCGTTCTCCAAGGACAACCGGCAACAGGTGGAAAGGAAAAGACATATAGGAAATGATATTGTTAATATTGTATTTTTGGAAGATTCTGATGAAGATGCAGATGGAGATTCAGATGGATCACTCGACGAGATTGAAGATTTAGAAAAAGATGAAGCATTGCACGCCACTTTCAACCCGGCATCCATAAAGTCACAATTTACTCGTATCCTTTAAAAAGATGAAAAAATAAAAACTGTGCTATTCCTAAAACAAACTCTTCAAGTTCTCAGTTACAGTCAAAAATATTTCCTCAACACAATATCAACTTCAATTTAGATGTATTTGCTGTAGTGAGTTGCAGGCGAGGCGTTTATCGATTATCAGTCTATTGTGATGAATCTGTACCATTGTTTGGGCCATCTCTTCCATGTCCACCAGTTTTTCGAGATCCCAATGCTTTTCGAGAGTTTTTACTTGTGAAAATGATCAACGGAGAAAAGGCTGCATTCCAAACTCCAACATTTGCAAGGAAACGAGAACGTACATTGGATATGCTGATAAAAGATTTATATGCTGAGCATATGAATGATTCCAGAATGGTATGAATTAATAATTAAGTTAGTTTGAATTGTGATCAATACCCTATTAATGACATTTTAATCGCCCATTGGCTATGTGTTACTATCATCCTATCCCGAAATAAGGCACATTGCGCACTGAAGCTTCTTTCATAACAAACTTTACACTTGCATGCTGTCAGCATTTCCTCTCACGTACCTAATAATAATATGCGTAACATCATTTGGCACGATATATTTTTTAATAAGTTGAAACAGAAACTTATAGTTTTTTCTCTTCTTCCTAGACAATGCTAAATAGAAGAGCTTTCTCCGAAGTACTAGCAGATGCACCGAGAGCTTCACGACTCAAAGAAGACGCACGTCAAATCGAATTTGTTCGCGTCGGCCAAGCTTTAAAATTGGACGCGATCGTGAAAGGCGATGCACCTACATCTACTTTAGGAGTCAGTTGTTGTGGCAGTGGTTCCACGATATTCAAGAGAGCTCCTTGGGAGCCTGAATGTTTCTATCCAGAATTTCCCGATGTGAGAATTGATTGTGCCGATAGCTGGGGAGACCACAGCCTTTTTTTGGGAACGGAAGATGGTTTATATGTTGTTGAAGGTATGATCTATTAGCAAAGTATGACCATAAAGCAGCGATAGGAACTGTAATTTGCAATATTACGCTCTGAAAATTTTATTTTTAATTTATATTTAAAGAAATTGGTACTACTGCCATTTCAAAAAACAATACTATTATAAACTTAATTTTGTTAATAAATAATGTCATTTCTCATTAGATGGAAATGCACATATCTTGGTATTTGATCGCTCCCTACAAGTTAAGCAAGTTAGTGCGGTGGAAGCGCATGGACTTTTACTGGTTCGAGCAGGGACTAATGGATCTGGTTCTGCTGGTAACTATTATCTAATATTTAATCTTAATTGACAAAATATTAATAAAACATGTCGTAATAAAGCAAAAAATATCTATTATTAGGTAGTTCTCGCGTGCACGTATTCCGATTAGATGAATTTAGAGGAGCGACTTCTGGTTCTCCACCACAAGTGCGAACAAGACTTGATGTAAAAGATAGAAGAATGGACAAAACTAGAGGCTGCCACCTTTATGCAATTTCTAGACCAGGTAATTTTAGTTCATGATCACATAAAAAAAATCCTAATTATCCTCTTGAAATCACATAAAAAAATTCCTAATTATTCTCTTGAAATCGTTTAATTTCTTCGTTTGCATGAAATATTTTCGCCCAAAACACATTTGTAGCTCACTTTTTAATTTATATAATAAATTCTTGATTATTAATTATTTTTATAATGTCTATTATCATATATTTTAGGAGGAGCATACTTAAAAATGGCAGTAGCAGTTGGCAAAAGAGTTTTATTATTCCAGTGGCGACACACAGCGGCATGGACTGCCTGGTGTCCTGCCAGTGATACTGATACAGTGGAAGGATTTACATTTATTAAGGTGCTTTTTAATTTATTTCTATACGCCAAACCTAACCCAATAGTTCAATTTTTATTTTTTATTTTCTTATGTTCCAAACTTGACAGAAAAAAATAATTTTTATCATTTTTAGGAAATATCTTTGTGCGAATCACCAACGCTGATGACTTTACTAGATGGTCCAGTGGCAATGCCAAAATCTCCGAGTGCAAAATCTACAACGCAAAATGGTAGCGCAAATATTCCTTGCGCATCAGGTTGCATGTGCGTTGGCTACAAGAATCACTTCGAATTGGTTAATGAAAGCACAGGACAAACGCATAAAGTACATAGTGTAGACACAGGTTGGTCAAATATTACAATTATCAAGATTTGAAACTCAAGAAAGTATACAATTTTTATTTTTTTTTAGCTTCAGGAAACAAAGTGGATATGGTGGCAGCGCTTGACCTTTATGAAGATCAAGAAGTTGAACTATTGTTATGCTATGACCGTAAGTACTTTTGTGCCTACATATTTTATTTGTACTATCATATTTCTAATTTATTGATTGTATTATTCATATTTTCAGATACTTGTCATTTTCAAAAAGTGATCGAAGATGGGGGTTCCACCACAGAGTACGACTTCTATTGGAATACTGTCCCTTCTTCAATAGGTAAATTAGCTACCAATAAACATAAAAAGCAGTTCTTACCACTTATACCACGGCTTGTTTGATTTTAATTGTGTTCAATAAATCAATCAAATTTTGCATAGTATATAACATTAATGATCACATACATATTGTAACATCTTTTATTTTTTCACAGTGTGCGCTTTTCCTTACATCATTGCTTTCACCTCGGACTCAATGGAAATCCGTCTCTTGGTCAATGGAAATTTGGTCCACACTCTTTCGATGCCACGATTACAGTTATTGGCAAGTAAATCGGATGTGTACTTCTGCAGTACTGCTCCTGAATTTAGACCTGCCACAAATCCATCTTGTGTCGAACGACCATCAATGAATCACAACAATCACAAAAACCATAACTCTGCAAAGATTCCTATGGACAACTGTTCTGTGACGCCTAATCATTCACCGCCACCACATTGTAAGTGTAAGTTTAAAAAAACTTAACTTTATAATAAGAGTTAATCGATAATTGGTCGATTAATTCATTGGTTAAAATCAGCAATGTTTGAGGTAATGAAGTATGAAATAATATCTTTTGCAGCTTCGTCATATGATAACAATTCGAAGCCATTGCGATTATATCGGATACCAGTTGCTCATCTTAGTGGAACTAGTGCAATTTCTGAACATGGTCGTAGACCACCAAGTGCGGGAAATAGAAGGTACAAATTAATTTAATATTGTGTTAAAGAGTGTTAAAATTTTATTAGAAGTAAAAAGTTATTAGAGTGTTAAAATCCATTAGATGCTATTGTAGCTAAAGTGAACTCTTCACAATTCAGAAACTTTATTAAGTTTTCTGCTGCATGATGATGGTAATACTGCTTTATAAAAGTGGATCATAAAAACTTAATATTCATTATAATTTTAGCTATTTTTTAAGTTTAGAATACTTTCAAAATCGCTTATATCTCTTTTAGATAAGTGCCCCATTTAACCCAAATTACACTAAAGGATTTAATAACTATTGGAATTGATAGTAACATTTTCTACGTACCTTACATTTTGAAGCAAAGCACACTGGCAACGTCATTTTCTGATAGTATTTGATCTCTGAAATGAAAAAATATAAATTAATTATTTGAAAAATGAACAAACTATACAAGTTTTACTATAATGAATATACTTTTTAGCATAATTGTCACATTATTCTATTTAATTTGAATCGAAATTTGAAAAAATGTGGCTTAATATTTATTTTTGCGAACATGGGAATTATGATTAAAAATATTCAAGAGTCCTTTATCACAACTCAATGATATCTCCTCAGGTATTCAAAATTTGCATCAAGTGGCGATAAAAGCATCGCAAAAATTACAGAGGAAGACAGAACAAATAGTACGAATCAAGATTTTCTAGTACCTCCTAGAAGAGAGTTTTCAAGAAGTTGTTCAAGTTCGCCTACGCCTCCTTCTAATAAATTTAATACTTCTTTCTAGACTTAAACTTGTGATAAATCGAACTTAAAACTGTACTTAATTAGGTTATTAGCCTTGGGATTCTAGATATGTTGTCGAAATGTGTTTATATCTAAAATTGGAATAATGTAAATTGTTTTTTCTATTGAAATTATTTATAAATAATTAACTGGTGCGTAAAGTATTTTGAAAAACTAATGGCACTATAATTCGTTCAAAAATATCTATTTAGAAAAGATAATTTAGAAATTTAATTTTAAAGTATTCACCTCAGGTCTTACGTTAAAGTAAGCAGTACACTGGTCAAAATATTTGTGAATTGTTTTATTTTCTATCATTTTTGATATGAAGGTAAAATTGTTTTAACAACTATATTCTAAATTAAAACTTTCCATAATACTATGGTACTTTCTACATAAGTAATAAGATACCCCTACAAAGTAAAAGAGCCCATTGTACTGATTTCATGAAGCAGGTAATATATCATTCAATAAGTGGATCTATTTATTATTTATTTGCAAATTTATTAACATTAATATTATTTGTTATATTATATAAAATTTGCAAAATTCAGTTTTCTCAGATCTTAGATTATTCTGTTGCTACTTTTTATTCTTTTATAAAATTCTGTAATAAATTATGTACCGCAAGGCCTGTAAGGTTTATCTGGTAATTTTTATTAAAGGTTTCCAATTTAGCATAAATTGATAATAACTGGTTTGTCATTTTTCATTTTAATATATATTGCACATAATCTTTTCAGAGCAGTTTTGAATATATTTTAGTTCTTGCAGAAAAATAAATATTTTTGTAGAAAGTCTAATGGTTGATTTGATGAAAAATATTAAAACAAAATAAGTTTTGTATTATTCGAATAGCTATGATTACTGCAAAATAGGCACGTGATGTGTAACAAAATTGCTGGAATCCTCTAATATATATTAATATGATTAAGACTTCCTTAATTATCTATATATTATAATTTTTATATTCACTTACAATATTATAATATAATCTATCATTAAGTACAAAGTGTTTCAAAGATGTATCATCACGTGGTGCTTAATATTACACTATAATCTATACTATATTTATATCTCTATTTCAAGTATTAAATGTAAAAATTATATCTATATATTAACTATTGTGTACAGGTAAAAGATTTATATAATTAAATATCTACGATAGTTTAACAAATATTATAAATATAATATACTATAATAATGTTTCTTGCTGAAAAAGATGAAGTTTTTCTATTAAAAGTTATGTGAAAATATAAATAATCAATTGATGTTATAATCAATCAATAATGAATATATTTATATAATAAGAATATTTATGGAATAATATATATGAAATGTTAGACAGAAAAGTGTTACATATATTAAATATTCTATTAGACTATGTACCTTGGTGAGTGTTTCAAATTGTTCTGATATTAATATACAAATAATCAGAAGTATTTATTTAAAATAAAGCATTTATATGTTATATATAATATACTGTATATTAACGAAGTGAATTTTAAAACATGATTGTAACCAGGGGTAGCGTCAAGGGTTGCATTTTCTTAACTCTAACATTTTTCAAATAAAAAGGTTGCATTGATGTTTTTTTGGAAATGGCATCTAAATATTTGAATAAATATTCTATCGTACTATAATATTATAATAATAATCTGGTTCAGATTTCATGCCCCTTCTATAGATATATTCTGGATACGCTCATGAATGCAAAGAATTTTAAAGCATTTCACAAAAATTTTGAAAGGGTTTCAAATTTAATATTAAGCAACATTTGTGAAATAAATATTTTTAAGTTATAAAAATTATAACACAAATTAAAAGAGATTATTTCAAGATTAAATAAATTTGATAAAGCTATCAATAACTAATATGGTTAAGCCTTCATTATGAAAGTTGATTTTTTACATTTTCTGGCAATGAATAAATTGGATGTAAAATAAATATTAAAAAATATCAGCCCTCACATTTTGAGAAAAATACTCAAAAAACATTAAACTTTAGTTATATTTAGTATCGTGAATTGATAAATTTCTAAACTTCCGTAATTGTGACAAATATTAACTGAATTAAATTAAACAACAAATAGTTGACATTCCAATTCCTCCTATAAAAAATTTAGTTTATCTGAAATATGTTAAACAAACAAATCTATGCATTTAAAAAAAAATTCAGGAGTCACACACTACTAAAATGGCAAAAACTTCAAAATTGTTAAATTATATTATTTTTTTAAATATTTTTTTGAAATATTGTCAATTAGGATGGTTTGTATTCTTATTTTAAAAATCAAATTTGTCGATCTATTTTATTTTTTTAATATGTGTTTATAATGCAGAAATTCTATAAGTTTGCCTTAAAGCCGTGGTTTCCAAACTGTGGGGCGCATCCCCTCAGGAGGGCGCTGGATTGTTGCAAGGGGGGCGTACAACTGTTTCCAAAATACAATTTTCAAAAAAAAAAACCAAAAAAATTGAAATGATATACAAAAATAATCATTTACATTACATATTAATTTGCAGCTTGATAATATCAATTGAGTATTTATGAAAGGAAATTGTTGCAAAATTAAGGGAAGCGCAATATTTTTTTTATTAGAACAGTGGCGGAGAGGCGATGTAAAAAAGGTTGGATACCACTGCCTTAAGACCACGTTATAAAAGTAGTGTCTTCAGAATAAGCCGAATAATTTTTATTTTACAAACAAATGCAATTTTCATATCATCTTAAGGTTCTTAGAGTCATAGTAAAGTTCTTATACTATTTGTACTAAAAACAGTTTCCACACACACATATACATTATGTGCTCAACGACACATGACGTGTATATTCAAAATTTTGCCTAAATATGACTTTGAGAGATTATAAGCCATCATATACTGAAAATTCATTTATCATAAATTTATTGCCAGGTGTAAAAATAATATTTTTGCATGTGACAACTACGGTAGCTTATACTAGCTTTTATATTTCAAATGTAATAATTAAATCAGTTTTCTGATTATCTAAAAACTAATGCCAAACAATGTTTTATTATACCCATATATCTATATAATAATATGATAATAATTATAATAATATTATTATTTAATGGTAACATAAGAAATGACTTTAGTTTTAGCCGCGTGGCACAAAATAAGTTGTACTTAGGCGTCTTTAGATAAATAAGTACAATTTTAATTATAATTTCTACTGTTATTATTAATGTTGTGACGTGAGATAATATATAATACGAAGAAGTTTATTATAAGGATAATATTACAAATATTGTGTAAATACTGACAGATATTGTAAATATATATTAGTATACTAAACTATTTATTATACATATATGTATATGCATGCAACAAGTTAAGGGTTGAAGTTATCTATTATTTTTCGTAGTTTATTGGTAAAACAACTTAAGATTTTGGCGACTGAATGAATTAAAATCGAAATTTGTTATTTTGTTTTTATTCCGTTCAGCCAATTCAATTTGATACATTTGGTGAATTATTTTATTATTAAACAAAATTTGAACAAAAATGAGAGCTATAAAAATATTATGACCCGGATATATAGCAACTCTTATTATCATAGCAATAGTTAGTTTTAATTTTGTTCACATCGATTTTAAATATAAGTTTCAGACAATAAACTTTTAGAATATAGCAGTTTTTAAAATATTTCACCAAAAAGTGATAAATTTTTAACCTTAACTAATGTATGTATAAACATATATGCATAGCTTATTATATAATATATTATATAATAAAGAAATATAATATGATTGTCCATGTGTCTATATATGTGAAGTATGTGAAAATAACTATATTTTGATTTTAAAAAATAATAAATGGTATACTTGTATCAAAATATTAAGTTTTTACTATAATTGCAGCATTTATTGCCATCATGAGTTAACCAAATCAATTCTTTTCTGTTGATACAAAAAAGGGGCGTAGCAAACATTAATAATAAAAAAAAATATTTCACAAAAAGCGAATTATTTGTTCAATCAAATTTAATATCGTTAAAAAAGAACTCGAGGAATGTAAAATTGTTATTTTAAAAAGTTTTATTTTTTCCGGGCCGCAGGGGCTCCAAACATGGGCAAAAATTAGTAAAATCTTACCATTTTTTGTTTCATTTCACAAATAACAATAATGACTTATTGCAGGCTCATAATATTTTAGTATCTATGATGGATGGTTATGATCATGGAAAGTTTGATAAAAATCGTCAATTCAATTGCTAAAAAGCGATTCGGTCGATATATTCCGAACAGTTTTTGATATTGAAACGAAGGCGAAAATTTTAGCACTTTTCTTCTAATTCCAAGAAATCGACTCGGCCTATCGTTAAAAAACCAAACATTTTCTGGCAAAAACATAAACCATTCCTTCGGAAAGTTAAATACTTTGGCAAAGTCAGGTCCAGCCGTTGCAAAAATACAAAGATACAGTTTTTGAGAGAACTAATTCTAACTAAAGTTCTAATATACTTTAAACAAGTAATTTTAACTTTGCAATTCTTATAAATTTTAGAGAATGTTACTGTGTTACAGTATTTATTTATAATAATCTATTTGAAAACATTTAATATTTCTCGATATATTTCGTTACGGTACGGGAAGGTCCAGCAATTTGCCTTAAGGCACGATGCCATACACCACTAGTTCTATATTTAAATGTTTAACTTTTCGAAACATTTAATTTTCTAATTTTATCGAAAATATCTAATATAAAATCATTATTTCTTATGCAACATTAATTTGTATCGAATTCAACATTTTTAAATTTAAATTACATTTTTAAATTTGAATTTGTCGCTTTTGAACTTACCTCCAAAATATTTCATTTTGTTTTGCGGATACAGGTTGGTACTACTGAGCGAAGTGAACACGAAGAGCTCGCGGACAAGACTGACAAAATAATCGTTCTTTCTTTCCGAGCTTGCCTCTTGTAAAGAACGTGGTAACAAAACTATAAGATCCTAGTGAAAAATATTGGTAAAGAAATGTTCTACGGGTATAGAAGTTCATATAAAATATTAACAAAATGTCCATAGCAAGTGAACGCGTCGAGATGGATGAAGATGAAGTGGCGTTCACCAAAGCCCGTGAGTTGACCGACGAAGAAAAGGTAAAATTAACCCAACAAGACACGCGACTTGTGAGTTCTTTTAAAGCAAATAAGTTAGAAATAGATTCCAAAAAGAACTGGGATTTGTTTTATAAACGAAATGATACCAGATTCTTTAAAAACCGGCATTGGACTACACGTGAATTTGAAGAATTACTAGATGATAAATCCGAGCAAAGTACGCCAAAGAAAATGCTAGAAATTGGATGTGGCGTTGGTAATTTAATATACCCCTTGATTGAAGATAAATTGAATAGGTATTTCATATATGCTTGTGATTTATCTGAAAGAGCAGTCGATTTGGTGAAATCAAATTCATTGTATGATGAAAATATAATGAAGGCTTTTCAATGCGACATAACCAAGAATGATATTTTCCAGTATTTGGAAAATGATTCTGTGGACATAGTTACTGCAGTTTTTGTTTTATCAGCGATACACCCAGATAAGTTCAGCACAACGCTGCAAAATATTTTTAATATATTGAAACCAGGAGGTGTATTGCTGTTTCGAGATTATGGATTGTATGATATGGCTCAATTAAGGTTCAAACCTGGAAATAAAATAGCTGATAACTTTTATGTACGGCAGGATGGTACTAGGTATGTAAAATTATCTTATCTTCATATTTTTTGATGAATGCAATGGGCTAAGTAACCCAAATGTACATTTGATTTAGTCTCATTACTAGAAAAAAATTACATTTCTCACCTTACATGATGATTTTGGCAGGCTCCCTCATCAGAGAGAACCCAAATATAAAAATATGTTGAAGTTTCTGCCCACTGACCTTACTAAAATTCATTTAGACTCAATTGATATTTTATAATGTGTGAATATTAATTCCATACTTACTTCCAGGTCATTCTATTTTTCTACCGAGTACCTTGAAAGCCTTTTGAGGTCAGCAGGATTTCACATCATTTCAAACACCTATATTCATAGACGTACTGTGAATATAAAAAGCAACATTGATGTTCCTAGAATATTTGTTCAAGGCAAATACATGAAGCCTTACAGTTGATACAGGTAATTTCTGCAATAAGCTTACTTTGTTTTATTTGAAATTTACATAGTATAATTACATACATTTTTGGTTGTATGTTTTTTCAGTTACTTTGTTAGCTTGCTTCATAATTTACTTTTGCATTTTCATACTGTGATGATATTATAGTTCAATTGATCGCTGTGATATTTACTATTGCAATGTCTTTCGCTCCTATCTGACTAGACAAAGATATATTTATAAAAGTTTCATTTGAAATGTACATGGATTAATTTTCTTATCTTTTTTTTCAGAATCTGAATGAATCTTTGGAAATTCACCTGACTGATATCAAAATTATTAATTTGAACAGGTAATTATTCATAAAATTCTTTTTAATGTTTCTTAATGATGATTTATGGCAGGCTCCCTCATCAGAGAGAACCCAAATATTAAAACATGTTGATATATATCTGCCCACTGAAATATTAGAAATGATTTTAAAAAATGTAATTGTATTTTTAGATTATATTAATCTGTTTTTCTTTCTTTTTTAGAATTTCTGAAACAGTGTCTCATCAGCAATTCTATCTTCTATGGAAATATTCTGCTTTATTATCAAAAGTAAGTAACTTTCATTGTCTTATGAAGTACATAAGTTCAAAATATATTGTCTCCTTTCTCAAATTTTCTAATAAGTTAAAAATGATGAAAAAAAAATTAGATTTTGCTGTGATATCTAACTAGCAATGTATGATAACTTCGTCAGTTCCACCTGAATTTTTTTTTTGTATACCGTACATCTTTTTTTTTTTTTAACTTGACATTAAATTTAATCAATACTTTTTTCTTTCCAGTATAATTAAAAATGCTCAGTAGCTGCAAAACTAAAAGAAATATTAGGATCATTTGATCCGATGAGAGAACCATGCAGACTTTCTTATCTCAACTAAGCAAGGTATTTACATAATAAACAAATTACTACATAATCTACAGTCTTTTATGATGAAATTATAGTTCAATTGACTTTACTGTGATATCTAACTAGCAATTGTCTTTCGCTCCTATCTGAATATTTTTTGTATACTCGAAAACTTACTTCGTTTGAAATTGACTTCTGAAATTAATTCATTACTTTTTTTTTTCAGTATGGCTGCAATTACTCAGTGGCTACAAAACTAAGAATTATGATAATTCCATCCGATGGAAACCATGCATACTTTCATGCGCTTAACTGAGCAAGGTTATTACAATAAACAAATTACTAAATAAAATCTTTTATGATGAAATTATAGTTCAATTGACTTTACTGTGATATCTAACTTGCAATTGTCTTTCGCTCCTATCTGAATACTCTTTCATAATCATCTTTATTTTGAACTCACTTCAAAAGTCTAACTCTTTGGGTTTTTTTTTTAGATCCATCCATTGCATGAATCTGGTGATGCTGGTGAAACGAAATTTTGAATAAGGTAAATTTCATGCATTATATTTTATAATAAATTTTTACTTATGATGATATTATAGTTCAATTGAAAGTTCTATGATATTTACTTAGCAATGTCTTTCGCTCCTATCTGATTTTTATGAAGCACATAAATTTGTTATAAAATTTTTTATTCTATATTATATTATATATTTTTTTAATTCAGGTTTAGTGTATGGGAGATCATCATATCACTGAAGCAAAATGTATATTGTCTTAATAATCAAGGTTAGTTCTAGTTATTTCATGTTACATTTTTTGTTTCAGTGATGAATTAAACTTCAAATGATTTTCTGTGAATTTTCATTATATTAGCTCTATCTGAATATTATTTAAATACAAAATATTTACTGAATAAAACTTCAAACATTAATAACAAAAACATTTTTGTTTCAGATCGATCTCCTCAAGGGGCTGATAAAATTAATACTATATGTATGAGATAAAAATCACATTGTGTATTATAGTAATTCTTAGTAAACTATGTACTCACATAACAGATTTATTTTAGTTTAAATAACATTTAGATTCAAAGTACAGATTCAATAGTTTCAGCATATGTTTCATTAAATAGCTTCGTAAGCATCAGCTTCTGGATTTTGATTTCCATGTCCATTCAAAAACAATTCCAGCTCATCTCGTTTCTTTTTATCTTTCTTATTACTCTTCTTTTTCTCTTTATCTTTGCTCTTTTTAGATTTTTTGTGCTTCTTTGTTTCCTGAAATAAAATTTCATTAAATTACCCATAATTTCAAAAATCATAAATCAAAATTTAACACTGAAAATTACAAAAAATATTTCAACAAATAAAGACAATTTATTACATTAATGATTGCTATCTGTTGAACCAAAACAAATTTGCAAAATTGCGAACTGCAAAATTATTTGATAACAATGTTTAATTTTTACCTTTGTCTCCTCTATTAAACCTTGATTAATACTACATGTACCAGTGGAATCCTCTCCACCTGCATAATTTTAATAATTATTAATTCAATAAATTAATCAAAATTTAACAATGTTGCCTATACCTTCTGGTGACCTTCTCACTTTTGAAGAACTTGGTATCCATTCATCAGAACCAAAGTTAACATCCAACTCTTCACTTTTTAGACTATCAAAATCATTCTCTTCATTGGTGGGTTGGTCATAATTAGAAAGTGGTTTAAAATCACCAATATCCAGTTTCGACATATTGATATTGAAATTATTTTTTGTAGAGTGAGAAAATGTTTTGCCATTTGAAACCATTTTATTAGAATTTTGTGTATTAAATTCTTCTGTGATCTCTTCTGCACCATCAATTTCCTCTTGGAATGTTGCAACTAAAGGATTTCCAATTTCTGCATCACTAGAATAAAAAATTTGCTTTTTAAATCAATTGCATGCTTATGATCATTAAGTAAAATTAATAAATAGTGCAAAATTGTACTTGTAAGAAAGTTTTTAGGTAAACAATAATTATTGTAGATGTACCTATCACTGTCATGTTTATCATCAGCCACTGCAGAACCTCCAACATCATCTAAGAAGCTCCTGTCTAAAGCATCATCAGGACAAAAATCTTCCACGGTGTTCAATTGACTTTTATACAAATGCTTACTGAAATTAATATAAAATTAATTGAAATAATTATAATTTTTTTTAAATAATGTATAATTTCTGTTACCTGTTACTATTTGTATGTTGTGCAGAATCAGTTTTTATAATTTTATTCTTAACATCCATATTTCTTTGTTCAGATGAAGAACCTATTACTTCACTACTTTGTTGACAGATTTGTGGTGATTTGAGATTGGCCGTCAAATTTGGAACTTGGCTATATTTTGTAGGGTCACTATTTACAACAACTGGTTTGCCTGCAACTATTATCGGATGACCTGCACCAATTGTAACTGTGCTATGGCTTTGTATTGGAATGTCTTTGCGTTCGTTTGTGCTATCTTGAGCATTATTAGATGGTGGTATAATATTTGTTGAAATTTTAGCATTGTGATCTGCAATTTGCCGTCTCTTTTTAACCAAGTTGTCTAGAAATTTGTTATAATTTGATTCATCAGATTGCTGTAAAGGATAAATTGAAAATCAAATTCATATTAGGCAATGGTATTACTAATTATCTTTCATATTTAAAAATATTCTACATTATTATTTATCAAATTTTGTTACAACTTTGGATGAAATTAGATGTTTGTTTATTTTTATTATATGATTATTAATTTATAAAGATATTACACATTAAGCTAAAATTTAACTAATTTTTTTTAATATGTTTCAAAGGCAAAAAATAGTCATATATTGCACAAAGTTGCAAAATTATAGATTCAGTTTTAATGTGAAATTATAATCACATTTTGTACAAAATATTTTACCTGGAACAATAGAATCTCTTCTTTTGTAATATCTGTATCTCTCTTATTTCTCTCTAATAAAAGCTCAAGACTTAATCTCTGCAGTCTCAGAAATGGAAGTCCTAGAAACCGATGAAGTAAATGTAGGCCAAATCCATTTCTCATGGAACTTTCTGCATACAAGGTTTCACCAGATCTCCTATAGTAAAATTATTTGTTTTACTTAAAAAATTATAAATAAATATTTTTATATTTTGGACTAGTGACTTATTGCAAGACTTATCTACCTAAAGTTGTGATAATAGGATAATATTTTATTCTAGAAAAGTTACTTTATCAAGCCAAGTAATTGGTTTTGTATATTAGCAGCAACTGATCATTTAATAAGTGTGGTCAAAAAAATGATATTCTAGCATATAAAATAATAAACCACTTGCATAAAATTTTCAATAAATCCTGATACTTGTCCATTTGTTACTGCTTGATGATGACTCATATCGCAATGATTGCCTAATATTAAAACTGGAATATCATCTGGTACTTTAGCCAGCTCCTTGCAGACATAGTCAAAGGTCCTATCAATATATAAAAATTTATTTAGCTTAAATTTATATTATTATTATACAAACATATTATATCATATTTATTTCTCACCAAGATTTAGTAACATCCATCATTAATATAACTCCATGAGTGCCTTTGTAAACATCTAAAAATTCTGCGTCCAGAGCAGGTGGGCATGCATCTATAGGACTTGTCGTCAGAGATAATTTCAAACCACTATTTTGGGGTCTGGATTTTCCTCTATCAACAACATCCCATACTTCTACCTGGAAGAAATATATAATAATAGGTTCAAAATAAATAGATTCTAAATGGTCTTCAGAAGTATTGCCAAAATAACTGTAAATTAACATTATTAATTAAACTAATTGATTTTTTTAAATTATTTTTGCCTTTATCACCTCATATATTATTAATAACTACACGTTTAAAGGCTTGTGTGCACTGTAATTATTAGAATAATGAAAAACAACAATAGACTTAAACAAAGAAATACTTATTGAATGATTGATGTGCCTAGTATCGCGACAAACTGAATACTGAATTATAAATTTTAAAATATAATACAAAAATTATTATAACTGCCTGGAAGAGAGAGTTCCCAAATATACACTAATACTACTATAGAATTTTGGGAATATTTATTTATGGGATTTTTCTATAATCCCACAATTTGGTACATGAATACATGGGTTTAAAAAGATATATTAATAACAAAAATATAAAAAGAAATGTGGTGTATTTACTTAAGCTTTGGAAAATATATGAAAAAATTATAGGATTTGCACCTGCATCCTGTGCTCACTTAAACTAAACAATGATCTTAATATATTTTACGAATTCTTAACAGTAGTATTAAAGTAATAAGTATTTAATGATATCCAGTTAGGAACTAAAATAACTTTAGATTTGAAATAATTTTTCATGAATATATAGTTTTATTTAACCTAATTACCTTTACAATATCATCTGTAGCTTTGAAGGCCCATTGAATAGAAGCAACTTGAATTTGTTCAGTTGGAACATATTCTTCTATAAAACCCCTGCCTTGCAAGCGTTCTAATAAACATGATTTACCAACATTGCGATCGCCCTTGATTATGATTTTCACTAAAACACAGGATAAAAAGGTTAATATTTCAGTAAGATAATATTAGTCAAAAAACTAATGGAGCAGAACAGTTTCTATATATAAAAATATATGGAAATTTGAGTAAACAATCATAGATAAGGATAAACTTGACACTGAATACCTAGGTACAATAATTCTTATAAACATTAAATACATATATACGCAGGATGGATATCTTTCTTTCATATATTATCAATCAAGATTAATATATTTTATATATAAAGTTCAGTACCTAATTTGCAAAACGATAGCTAACTTTTGTGTTTTAGAGCGATCGGATTGTGGTATTTTAATATTATAAGGAAAAAAAACAATTCATCAAGAAGAACACCATATGTATAAAAGACAACAAGCATTTTTACCAATAATGATAGAATTTGTAAATCTCAAACTTGATTGAAACTCTAAATTAGGAATATAATAGAAAGTATCATATAATATAAAATGGGTATATAAAGTAAGTATTGAATTATATAAAAACCTAGATTTTATGAGATAACCTAACCTTTAAAATATCTTCAGACTTTAAAGTAAAATCTTTCTCTAACAAAGTATGTTATTTTAATATTCTATCTCTATTAATACTATATTATTCACATACTGTTATATTGAACTCCTTTCGAAAATTTCTTCTGCAGAGTACCAGGCATGGCCTGGTGACTGGGAGGGCCATTCGAAGCATTTTCTGCTTTTCCAGCTAGTCTTTTGAAAGCTGAAAACATATCAACGCTGATATGTTAACTTCTCCATAAATACTTTAATTAAACTGTCGAACACGTCTTACTTTTACGACCAACATATGCACTATAAATTTAAGCCATTATAAATTAACTAGTTATAAAATATTCATTTAGGTAATTAAAAATAGAGGAGTGGTGAGTCAAAATAACATTGATGTTATATTAGTTTTATATGACATTTTCATCAACATTGCAAATTCCTCTGCCACTAGTTGCAAGCTGCAACAAGGCAATGTCAACTCAAGTCAACCCATATGTCACAAGACAAGGTTGGCTAAATAATTAATTTACATAAAATATATGGAAAAATGAGGAAAATTATTTTTATTATAATCGCATTGCATTATTTGGATTATTAAATTGAAAAAAATAATAGTATTTTATTTTATATTTCTAAATGAAATACCTTTACATCTCGAAACATTATCGAAAATTTATGACAGATGATACGAAAGTTAAAATATGTAGAAGGAAGTAATCTTTATTACTTCCTGTAGAAAAAATTTAAATTTTCAGAAGAAAATCCTAGTTAACTTCCCGTAGGGTAAGTTATTGTAATGAGCCGAAAATCGGAATTGAAAATTTTTACATTTCTCGACGTTTTGAAGGTTTCTGAACATTTTGTCATACCTCAGAAAAAATGGATGTGTGTGTGTGTGTGTATGTATGGATACAAATTTCCAGTCACGTTTCGGGGCGAACGAAACAACCAATTTGAATGGTTCAAAAAGCATTCGATTCGTATCGATAGGGAAAAGAGCTGATTAGTTTCTGGCAAAGGCAGGTCCAGCCGTTTCGAGGATACGGAGCAAAGAGTGCAGAAAATAAAAATCGACTTTTTGAGAGAACGGAGTATCCGATTTGAATGATCTAAAAAACATTCAATTAGTAATGATTGGGAGAAGTGTTTATTAGTTTTTGGCAAAGGCAGGCCCAGCCATTTCGAAGATACGGAGCTAAATATGTAAAAAATGACAGTTTTTGAGAGAACTAAGCGTCCAATTTGAATGATTCAAAGAACTTTCTGCTTGTCCTAACAAAATAATTGATTTTGGAAAAAAAATTTTGTTCCATTTTTTTTGATTCAGATTTTATTTTTAATTCTGACTATAGTTCTAATATACTTTAAACAAATAATTTCAACTTTGCAATTTAGTTTATATAATTCTTATAAATTTTAGACAATGTTACAATATTTATAATAATCTATTTGAAAACATTCAGTATTCCTCGAACATTTCGTTACGATACGGGAAGTTCCAGCAATTTGCCTTAAGGCACGATGCCACCCACCCCACTAGTTTTTTTTTAATTTTATCCTTTCTCGATGTTTCAAGCGATTCGAATCGATTAAAATGAAATACAAAAGGGCTATGCTTTGTATGAGCCGAAATTTGACATTTCGTCGACGTTTTTTTAAAAAACGGCTGAACCTATTTCAATAATTTTAAAGCCATTTTATGTAACTCAATGAGGATTCGTATTGATTAGATTTGCGTAACGATAAGCCCTTTCTTTATAAATAACGGAAAAATGCAAAAATTTTCGTCTACGTTTTAGGCAAAAATTCTGAACCGCTTTTGAAAATTCAAAATTGATTGATTTTTAGTCAATTTGGCCGGGCTATTTTTTCGCAATTAAAACTGCGTTTTTAGAAAATATGTACAAAATTGAATAATCTGTATTTGTTTCTAACATTATAAGGCCCTACAGAAACTCAGTATGTTTATAAACTTTTTTATAAACAACTTATGAATTATTATGTTGATTTACCATTTCTTGACACATGCCGAGAAGTTTATATTACTTAAGCGTTTAGCCTTAAAACTTACTCCTACTCTATTTTTTCTTAATTATTAATACGCAATATATAGAAATTTTATACATGATGCCTGAGATTATTAGAATACCAAATATGATCATTTAATAGCATTATGTCGAAGGTCTTATTGAAAAATTCATATGGTAACAGAGAGCTGCCTCAACAGTCTCAACAATTACAACAAAAGATTCAATAAAAAATAAAACCAAATTAAAATTATCAATATGTCAAAAGTCATGCATAAATACAAAATATTTACCATGCTGTGTCAGATAACATTCTTATTATATTAAAACAATTTACTGAGTTAAATGGTTTATTCGTTTATGAAAATACATAAAAGCTATAATAAAAATAATAATATACTTCTGTCAAGAATATAATATTTTCCTGTTCAGAATGCAACCACAAAATTATTATTTATAATTGCATTCAAGATTCATATAAATATATGTACTAAATATTGAATAATAATATGAAGTTAATTTTGGTTAGAGTATAGTTATAAATCTGATGTTGCATCACACACAGCACTAATAATATTAAAAGATATATATATCATTTGCATAATTTAATCAAATAAATTAGCAGCAATGATACAAAATTTAAACCAAATTTTTACAATTTTTTCACAATTTACCAAATTTTATAAAACAACAAATTTTTATTAACTAAACAAATTTAATTATACTGTACTTGAACTTCTTCTACCAAAAGATGAGTAGGCAATCCCAGCTTCATTTTCATAGTTTATACAATTATGATTTAATTTTTTCTAACCTTTATAGCATTTGCAACTATACCTTTTAACAAATGCAATTAATGAATTTATAAAATATAAAATTATACTATTTCCTTTACTTTTATATTTTATAATATCAAATCCTTGCGATTCATTACTAATAACTTGTGGTCTATAACGACGATTTTCTTTAAAAAATGCTTACTTTCACCATTGTCATCTTATAGCTGCTTAATAGGACTCTCAAGACCTGCTGCAAGCAATTCTACAACTTCATGTTCCAACCAGAATATTCCAATATAGATCCTATTTTATGACATTGGTATCATATTTTGTCTTTTGATCCTCTAACAATTTTGCCAATGGCGAATGACCACTAAATAGTGAATATCCGCCACCATTACCCCACAGACTTGAAGTGCCATTCATACCAGATAAGAGAGATGTATAATTTAAACCGTTTTCCTCAAGAAAGCTAAAATTGCTATAAATTGATGTTGATTGATTTAAATCAATATCTTGCATACTTTTACTGTTTTCATCTATCCAATCTGTAGATAAAACCGTAGGTGATTCTATTGGAAGGCTATACAAAGACTTCATAGCCTTGTCTTCTCGTTCATTGTTTGAATCGTATTCTTCTTTCAAGTCTAAGTTATGTTTCATTTGAAGAATTGTTTGCAATGCAACATTAGTTCTAGCTCTTTTTGGTTTAGATTTAGCAGAGCCCGGTTGAATCATTCTCACTATAGCAGCCTTTTCATCATTATTTGTTGCATTTGAAGTATTTTCAAATACATCAGCACTGCAATAATAGTAATTAAATTAATTTATAAAATTTTATAAATAGTAATTTGATAGTAATAAAATGTTATTTTACCTTTTTGAAATTTTTTCCAATATAAGCTTAGTCCATTTCAAGACTCTTTCACCGCAAACCTCATCTTGAGTAAAATCTGACAAAATTTCTTTATTTTGAGTCAAACCAAAGGGTATATAATTTGTCAATTCCAATTCTTCATCAAGTATACCATCACTATCATCTGCAATGCAATAATATTACTGAAACCACAATCGATTAAATATTATGCTTATTATAGCTTTAATTACCTATTCCAGAATCACTTTCAATTACATTGCTTGTTAATAATATAAAATGATTTTCCAACATTTTAAATGATTTTTTAAAAATAGTTTCACCAATCAGATGCTCTTTCCTCATAATCCATGACAGAAACAAGTAAGCTGCAATGAGAATAATTTAGCATATTGAAGAAATTAATTATCATTATTATCGATAATTAATATATATTATTCTCAGTAAATAAGTATGATTAATGTACCTGTTTTATACGATTCATCAGTTTTTTCCAACAGATAAAATAAATGTGTGTAGTGTGTTAGAATAATTTGTTTCAAAATTTCCTCATCTTTTGATAATTCTGATTCCTTGCATACTGCATCAATAATTTTTGAATAGGAATATGTAACAAGTATGAACGCCTTAAAGAAATAAATAATACTTACATAACTAATTAATGTTATTTTGAGCTTGCTTACAAATATCAATATTTTTTAATTTTTTTAAAATTATAGATATAAATTAGTTGAGTACAAATAACACATACCTCAATACACTTTTTATTATTCAGTTGATTCGTTACAGGGCATTCAATTTTCATGTCATAAATTGAATTATTCAAAACATAATACATCTGTTTTAAAAAAGCGCTTATATAGTCTTCTAGAGTAGAAATTTTGCTGCATTCACTATAATAAAAAAGAACAAGAAGTCTTAGATAAAAAAACATTGCTACTAAATGAATTTCATGGAATAATATCTATAATAATATTATACTTGTAATTTATATGTATTGTATTTTATATACTAAATAGATGTAAATTGTTTACAAAATCAGTAATATAGTATGTTATTATTGAATAACTGAATTAATTAGATTTTTTTATTGTGAGTGTAATCACAAACACTACTAAACTATTATTCAATACTAAAACAAAATATGTGTAACTAATATAATAATAATACTGAATATAGTAACAACTTACAATGTTTTATATTCTTCCAATAATCTCATCAAATTATTATGCGCCGGCATAAAAGATTGCACACATGAATTTGCTCGACAATACAAAGAGCAAATCTTAAGCGCATCCATTGAAGATGATTTGGGTTCCAAAAGAGCTAATTGGTTGTATGCATGACCAAAAGCTGGTGCTACTTTGATTGCTTGCCTTAAAAAAAAAAACAAATGTAAATCTTGATAAAGCAAATTTCAAACAGTGTTTTAATAAAGTTTTTCAATCAATACATACTCATAAAAATTTTGCGCCTGTTCTTTATGTCCTTGATATCTAGCCAGATCTCCAAGATGAACAAGGCAGTATTGTCCTACAAAGCTTAAATCCGTACTGGAATAAAAGCAATAATAACAATCCACACTATAATAACTTACTTTTATATATATTTAAAAAAAAATTATATATAATTCTTAACTAATACCTGATTTGCAACACATCTTTATGAGCACCCCAAGTAGAATTCAGTAAATTTATGTAAAATCCTGATGCACCAGATAAATACCACGATAATACAGCAGAAAACTCAGACTTTTGTGTGACATTGTACTTAAATTAAACCATAAATTTTCAAAAATATGACATTTTTTTGTTAAAACTATATAATTCATTAATCTATTATAGTGTATAATTCGAAATTATTTTAAACAAACCTCCTTATTTTTTATCAGATCTTGCAAAGATGAAATACAAAGTTTGAACCCAATATTCCATAAATCTTGATCAATTTTATTAGTGAGTGCATAGTTAATGTCAATAACGAATATATGACGATAAATATGCTGAAGCTCTTTTAGCAAAGCAATAACATTCAAAGTTGCAAAATCTTTAGGCTCAAATTTTGTTAGTTGTTCCTTTATAACATCAGCTTTCCTACAAAACAGTAAAAAGATATACATTATAGTAAATAATAAATAAGATATATACTATAGTAAAGATCTAAAAAAAAAATGTGTCTTAAATGCATGTTACTTATAACTTTATAATTCAATTTGATATTTATATTGTCGAAGATGTTTAAAAACAGCAACAAAAAGTCACAATGCTAAAAAGTTGAAGCATTTACAAATGTGAACAAAACATAATCTAAACTATTTATTAATCCCAAAATTTAGATGGGTGATAAAAGGTAGATTTTATATGAAATTGGTTCAAATGCTATTATTCAACAATAATAAACTAAATCTTCAATCTAATAGAATATTATATATGCCATGTGCATGTAAGCACTGATCTTCTAAAATTAATCGTTACTACAAATTAATAAAAATGTATCAAACTTTTATTATTGTTGGATTATAGTAAACACCCAAACACACAAAATATATATGGGTATAATAAACAGTTCTTGACACAATAACAATTTGATTGTTTTCTCAAGCCCATAGCATTCCACATCACAAATAGATAAATATTTCCATTTATCTTCTTTGATTTACCTAAGAAATTCTATCGCTGCTTTTACAACCATGTCAATAAAACCAATGCATATAATAAATACTATGCAAAATATAACAATATTTTTTCAATTATTTATTATATTGTTATACTTTGGATGCGAATATTTAAATAAAATTCACTTTCATTTCACATATTTTTGACAAATCTGCCTGTAATCAAGGTTGACAGTTCAGACGTTGATAGCACTCAGAGACCACGTGATGGCAGGGTGAGGACTTCACAACGCTTGTGACGTTGTTCACTCCAGTCTCTTGAGCTCAATAGGCAAGGCGGCTGCGACATATTTCACTCGTAGATGTACGCGGCTAATTTAAAATTGTCGCACTGTCATGCTCTAATAAAAGATTCACTCTTATATAACGAAATTTTAAGCAACTATCAGAATCACGTTTAAATAATTTGGTTTGAATTTCTCTGTCATAGATTTGACAGTTGAAAATAAATATAAATACATATATTTGTCACCATGCAAAAAGTACAGGTTTTCAAACTTTGTAAGTTAACTTCTAGTATATTACTATTAAAATAAACAAAAATGTATTATTGATATATGTATATGATTACATTCATGTTTCTGTAGCTAAATATAATAGAAAAAAAAGAAACTAAATTAAACATACGTATAAAATTATTTAAATATATTACACACACATCACGCATATATATATGTATATATATATATATATCAAAATACATACTCTTTATTCTAAAAGAGTGTATGTATGTATATATGTATTTATATTTGGACTCGTTTGTTATTATAATTAAATTTGTTATTTAGGTTATTATATTTAGACTCGTTATTTATGTTTATTTATATTTATATTAGATTTGTTATATATATATATTTATATGCATAGATAAAAGAAGTGTGTATGCATAGATAAATAAACATGTGTGTATGTATGTTTATATGTATTTTAGACTCGTATTAAAAGACTCGTTACAGTAGAAACAGATACACATGTCATTTATCATAAATTTATATACCTCAATTTATCATAACTTTTTCAGAATGAGCTAAAATGATTTAAAATACTTGTTAAAATAACGTATAAATCAACCATCCAAAAGTTTTTAGTGTTGCTTCCTATTGTAGTCGCTGCCTCTCGTACTAATCTATAATGTCACCATTGTTTGAGGAAATTCTTGAATGTCAATTTTGACGTCTTAAGTCAAACAATTGTTTGTACTTGTTTACTCCCAAAACCATTATAAAACCTAAAAACACGTCCAAATATCTAGTGTAAAAAATAAACAAAACGAAGCAAGGAATTTAATAACATTATTGTTTTGTGAATACAAATTATTGACAACATGACAGACAATCCTAAGCAAACTGAAGAAGTAAAATCTAAAGTTACTGAGAAAGATGTTCCACCAGAGGTTGATCGAACACTAACAGATAAGTTAAATAAGAAGTTACTCTCATCATTCTGGAACGAATGAATAATGGATCCATTGACAACGTTTTTAAAGATGACAAAAATCCTACACTCCAGGTGGGGAAGACGATGAATTTGCACCTTAATATCTCCATCACAAAAGACCATTTTATATAAAGTATTTATAGAATAGCATATTGATATATTAATATAAAACTGCTTTATACAACTCCACGTATATTCAAATCGTCTTGTTGTGATAAAAATTGATTTACTTTTTATTTGTGACTTGAAAAAGCGGAGCAGAATGATATTATACTTTTATAAATGTGTGTTTATTCAGGAACTATGAAATAAATATTCTATACTCTCTAAAACATAACTGTTTGATTCGTTGACATTTAATTCAATGAATTTAATAAACCATAAAACATACATCTACACGCAGAGCGTATGATAATGCAACTATTATTTTGTAATGGTTCCAAAAGCTTTCAGACATTTGCAGCTTTGCAGCTATAGCTTTAAATCCTCAGTTATGCAAATAATTTTGATGATTTTTATAAACACATTTTACTCAATTTGAATATAATAAATATCGAGTTGAATCCATGGACTACCATCCATGATTTTAACTTATTTATTATATTCTTAATAATCACAGTAACTTTTAATTATTCATGTTTTTTAATGTACAAAATAGTTTATAGTTTATATCACTTTTTAGACACTATTTTGATATTACAAGTTAATTTGTGTCTTGAGCAGCTATCAAAAATATATTT